GGGAGAAATAGAGAAAAATAGTAAGGTGAGAGACTTAAAATTAACCACATCAATAGTCAAAAACCCAAAATGGGGAGAAAATCGCACATATGCAAAAAATGACTATTCTCAGTAATTGTATTACTCTGAGATTTGTGTGTGTGTGTGTGTGTATTAGAGGTTAAAGTAAACGAGTGATTATAGGAGATTCTAATTTTATTTAGTACTCTAGGTTCTTGAAATCAAGATTTCCAGGGTAAAAGATAGGAGGTATGGATGTATTATAGAAGAGGTTAAGTAAAACATCCTGTAGTCCTGAATTTTAGTTGGAAATATCAGTATGAACTCGTGTTCATAGTGTTTTGGGGTGTGTGTGTGTGTGTGTGTGTGTGTGTAAACTTTTCCTACCTTTGTCCATTGAAGAAGCCTAGAAACAGTGATCAATCCTTGGTAGCAATTAGCAATCCTTGTACCCAGATTGCGATTTTGAAATATCATTTTTCACTAAGAGAAACAAGGGTTTTATGGGGAAGTGATCCATTTCATGCTTTGGGCAGAAAACAAATATAAGATAAGTCAAGATTATGTCTTCACATCAGATAAAGGAAGCTACTAGGCTCATGTGAAAATGATTCAGAAACCAACTCAAGGGATTTCTACTGAACAAAAATAGAACACTCTTAAATAAATAAACAAATAAATAAATAAATAAATACTAAATTTTTAAAGATTTAAAAAAATAAAAAATAGAACACTCTTAGCTTTAAAAGGCCTAAGTGCAACTGATTGAAACTCTTCAAGTATGTTTAAATCCATAATGATTCATAATGATTAAATGGTTCATAATGATTAAAAAAAACAAATTGATTGGCCAGTTTTCGATTGTGATAGAGATTCAATTCACTATCTAAAAACTTGGAAGAGAAAGAATCAAGTATTTATCCTATATTTCCCCACATAAAATTGCACTATTGGTTATTGGTTATAAAAATAGAATTCTTATAAAAATAACTCCACCTTACAAATGTATATAAAGTATTTCAATGAATAAATGAAAAATAAGTTAATGAATTAGAATATCATTATTTTGCAACTCCCAATAAAGTAATTGTTCTAGACATTGACCATCAAAAGCTGTTAATATCACTAAAAGAAAGAAAACCAGACATTGTGTGCCTCCTGATGAAGGACCACAGCACCACCTATGGTCTTTTCAAAGGGATTTTATCTACGTTTGATAAAGCATCTGGCTCCAGCTGTCAGTTTGCAGGAAATACAGAGAACAGAGAAATGTGCTGAACTGCACCAAGAACAAAATCTAGACTATAGAAAACTACACAGAAGTCCTGAGATCATCATCTGAAATGGAGTAAAGAAAAGGAAAGATGGAGGGGAGTCCTAAAGATTAGAAGAATCTTTAAAGACATTGCCATTTTTTTGAATGATCAGGACTAAGCTATAGAGTCTAGGATTGCCTACAAGTGAAAAGCTATAAAGAAACAAAGAAAGTGATTACTATAAAAGACAGGAAAATGGATAGTTTTGGAGGAAGGAAGGGTGTTGAGATCAGAATGGGACATATGGATGGATTTCTGGGGTAAATGGCAACTTTCTAGCTACCTGGGTGACCTGGATGGTAGTTTACAGTGGTGTTCACCTTATAATGATTCAATAACTATACATTTGTCTCAAGGGTGTTCTGATGCCATGTTTTAACTGTTTTACAATTTTATTTTATAAAAACACATAAAGATGCAGGATTTATGGACTCAGTAGTCAGAGACAATTGAATAGCAAAATTATATTGCCTATTACATAACAACAGCTAAAAATCAGTAAGAAATTAAACTTTATTCCTGTAGAAAATCAGGGAAAAGCTACGACCAGGCAGTTCACAGCAAAAGAAATACAAATGGGTTTAAATATATGAAGACACTCAACCCTACATATAAGATGATGAAAGCTGCCCTGGGATATATTTACCTCTCAGATGAGCAAATGCCCATAAGTTTAATAACACAAGGCATTGGGGAAAGTGTGGACAAACCATCACTCTAACATGCTGCTGGGAGCATAAATTTGTACAACCACAGCAGAGGACAGTTAAGCTATACTCATTGAAATATAAACCAATGTACTCTCTGTCCATCAACTTCATTAGCAGGAATTTATCCTAGAAATCTAGTTGCACACCAGCAAAAGAATGTATCTTTTCATGTTCATTGTTTTGATTTTCAAAGGATTAGAAACAACCTAATGTCCATCAGAAGGGACTAGTTTAATAAATGAAGATACATCTATAAATGGAATAATATGCATCCATAAATGTTAAATTTATATACTAACTTGGGAAGAATGGGCATCTTTAAAATGTTTATCTGTCCAAGAATAAGAGATGTTTCCATTAGTTCAAGTCTACTTTTGCATTTTGAGGTGTATTTTAAGGTTTTCCTCATTATAGGTTTTGTACATTTCTTGTTAAGTATTTCTTTTTGATATTGTTTGTATCACACCAGTCACTGGTAATTGCGCACATAAAAGCTATTGCTTTGTATGTTAATTTTTATCTTACTACCTTGCTGTATTACTCATTACTATGCTGTATTAATTTTAATTTTGATTTTCTTGTGTTTTCTATCTAAACTTTCGGGTCATTTGTGTGTACTTGCCTTTCTTTGCAATCTTGATTTCTCTCGTTTTTTTGTTTGTTTGTTTTTTTAAGATTTTATTTATTCATAGAGACACAGAGAGAGAGGGAGGCAGAAGCAGGCTCCTTGCAGGGAGCCCGATGTGGGACTCGATCCTGGGACTCCATCCTTTAGTGCTGCAGGCGGCACTAAACCGCTGTGCCACCGGGGCTGCCCCTTGATTTCTCTCATTGTTTTCTTTTGAAAAATTGTTTTGCTCTTCACATCAATACAATGTTAAAATGTAATGGAGGTAGCGGATATCCTGTCTTGCTCCTTGACTTTCTGATTATTTCCCTTTGATGAGAATGCCAATAGTGTTTCCCCATTAAACAAGATTCTAGATTTTATTTTTTTTTTTCCAAAGATTTTTGTTGTTGTTAAAGAGGAGAGAATGGGTGGGCAGAGGGAGAGAATCTTCAAGCAGACTCCCTGCTGAGCACGGAGCTCAATAAGAAAGGGCTCTATCTGGCAGCCTGGGTGGCTCAGTGGCTTAGTGCTGCCTTCAGCCCAGGGCCTGATCCTGGAGACTGGGGACTGAGTCCCACATTGGGCTCCCTGCATGGAGCCTGCTTCTCCCTCTGCCTGTGTCTCTGCCTCTGTGTGGGTGTCTCATTAATAAATAAAATCTTAGGAAAAAAAAGGGGGGGGGCTCAATCTCAAGACCCATGAGATCATGACCTGAGTGGACCAAGAGTTGGACACCTAACCAACTGAGCCCACCCAAGCGCCCCTAGATTTTACTTTTTAAAAAATCAGAATGGGTGTTTATTTTTGCCAAAAGCTTTTTTATCATCCATGGAAATAACCACATTTGTTTTTAGACCTACTATGTGAGTTATATGAATACATTTCCTAATACTGAACCATATTTGTAACAGTCATGCTAAATTACCTTAAAATATGCTATAGATTGCTTGCTAATATTTAGGATTTTTGCAGCAATATTCCTATGTGAGATTGGTCTGTGGTTTTTTTGTGCAATCTTTATCAGACTTAGGTATCAACATTATCCTTGCTTCATAAAAACTAAACTTTCCTTCATTTTTCTACATTTTTTAAGTTTACCTTATATTAGGGATTATCTGGCCTTTAAAAGATTTGGTACTTCCCATCTCCAGTAGGATGAATTTCAGCTAATTCTATTTTCCTAGGAAAGTAATCATTATCAAATTTATTTGTACTAAGTTATGAGAGTAATCCTGTTTGTTTGAATATCCTGTTATACTGGCTATTTCTCCCTTTTATTTATATGTCTTTTGGCATTTGTGCTTTCTTTCTTGATTGGGCAAGCTAGAGGATTGCTTTTGTTTTATGAACTCTGTTATTTATTTTATATGTAATTACTTTCTGCTTTTATTTACCTTTATTAAAGAATTTTGGGGAGGAGGGACCTAAATGTTAGTACTGGATTCCATTAAATCAGTGATGGGGGAAATCCATACCTTTTAAATACCTTATGCAAATAATGAAAATTAAAATAAGTAAATTAAATAGTCAACTCATAAAAGAAAGTAAAAATAGATGGCAGTAAAGTGCTTGACTTTCAAGTCAGATGCTGACAAGATGGAAGCCAACTGCTGAATATTTCTCCTAGACTGGAGAAAGTTTGGATTGGATTTGGATTGAGTTTGGATTACTGTGGGATGACGATATTCTACAACAGTCTGAATTCATGACTGCTGATCCAAAGTACATGGCAACCATCTCCTCAATCAACCCAGACATTTTAACCAGAGACAGGACGGAGGTATAGTTCTTCCATGCGGATCTTTAAAAATACTCTACTACTAGCTATACGTAACAGCACAAGGGGCAGCATTTGTACAACTCAATCCCTGCTAGTAATTAATACTAGGCTGAACCATGCCCAAAATGACCTGTACACAGTTACTACAGTTACCTCAAAATTAAAACTAAAGCTAAAATATGCCAAAGTCTACAAGGTTACGTGAATCTCAGCAGTTACGTGTAAAATTTTATGTTTACCAATGTTTAGTATTCAAAGGAATTTATTTCCTGAAACTGTATCTATCATCTTCAATTTCAATCATATTTGATAGACATTAGGAGCACACGAGGGAAAATATTTATAATAAGAAAGCATACAAAACTGTACATGCAGTAATGACTTTGCAAAACAAAATATAAATATGCCATATTTTATACACCAAAATATTCAGTGGCAGTAACTCCTTGAAGGTAAAATCCCTGTCTTACTCATCTTTATAGTGCCATCTTACAGAAGAATGCCTAGTACAAAATATGTATTCAGTAAGTGCTTCCTGAAAAAAATGAAAATGAGTAATACACATCTTCAAAAAAGGTACTCGATCAAGTAAATATATGAAATTTTAATATTTTTTTTCTGAAATATACAAAGGACTAAAGACAAAGTCAATACCTAACTAAAACTTTATGTATCTTCATTATTATAAAATTAATCTTGAGTCAAAAATCCAACTCTAAAAATACGGTCTCAAAAATCACATATCTACATATAATAATACTAAGACAAGTAAATTGTCTTATGCTGCATCATCATCATCCACTGCAGCATAGATGGCTTGATTCCTCCTCTTAATTTTCTTTCTTTGTTCAGGTTCATGTTCATCACTCAGCCTCTTTGATGGCAACTCAGTTAAGTCCTTTCCATCCCCTGACTCCAGAGCCTCACCAGGGTTCCTCTCTCTGCCATCTGGAGAACCCAATGTATCATCAGAAGATACAATCATGGAACCCGGCAAGATCCTGACATCAGAGAAGCTTGCAGAGAAGTCAGAAGCTTGATCAGAAGAAGGTTCTGCAGATGGTGTATTCATGTCACTACGTGTACTTATAATACTATCTTCATCTTCCTCTTCTTCATCTAACATTATTTCATCTGGATTAATAGAGGACAGGGCAGACGTATCTGTGTTATATTCACTACGGTCTTCTCCAGAGTCATTACTCTCCACATCATCCTGCTCTTCATATTCCCCACACAAATGATGTTCTTCCTTGGCCTTCTGAAGCCTGACATTCATGTCAGTGATGCCAAGTTGGGCACAAAATTCAGTAGTTTGAGGATTGATCCTATGAACCAACTGCATTTGTGTCTGTGGTCTGCTAGGGTCATAACAAGCAGCTGTTATGCTAAAGTTACATGGAACTTTGAGGTCATGATTCAGTATTTCCAACACTTTGTTCATAGCTTCTTCTGTTGCACTATAATCCCATCTACAAAAGTCCAAAACAATAGCTTTTTACATTTTATTAAACCTCAGACAATAAAAGATGAAATCTAACAATGGATTTTGTGTGCAAGGATAAAATATAAACCATATATAAAAATTCCATTTAATAAAATTATAGTTAATTTGCCAAAGGACTATTTTGGAATAAAAATAATTCTTAGAAAAAACTGTTCTTAACTCACGCTCTAAAACAATCATAAATTATTTTAACATGTGAGCCAAATCTCCATCATATTATCATTTTATGCATGCTTGTTCATTCATAAACTTAATTGGGTTGGTACTCAATTATCCATTTTTCTATCCCTTAGATGGGAAATTTATACCAGTCAATCTTCACTATTTTGACACTCAATAATAATTCCCTTCATTTCAAAAAAGAAAAGAAAGAAAAGAAAAGAAAAGAAAAGAAAAGAAAAGAAAAGAAAAGAAAAGAAAAGGGTGAAGGGAATAAAAACTGGGCATGCAACAGGTCAGACTCACCTTGTATGCAGGCCATTATTTTCAGGCATATTCCATAGCCTCTCAGTCACATTAATAAGATCATTGGTAGCCCTAAGAACAGTAAGCCATTCGATATCATATTCTAAGTACTCAGGAGCATTGGGGTCATGGTCTATTTCTATTACCTATAGGAAGAAATTGATACTTTTATTTTTAATATTCTAAGAATTTCAATATAACAATACAATTTAGGGGCGCCTAAATTTTAGGGTGGCTCAGGCGATCAAGCATCTGCCTTCAGCTCAGGTTATGATCCCAAGGTCCTGGGATAGAGTACCTCGGGCTTCCTGCTCAGCAGGAGTCTGCTTCTCCCTCTCTCTCAAGTAAATAAATAAAATCTTAAAAATAAATAAAATAAATAAAATAAAATTTAAAAGGAATGATGGCTTAAAAACACTATTGTAACTTAAATATTCCCAAGGAATTCTAAAAATACCTAAATTATAGATAGCATAAATAAATTCTAAAGGGAAAATTAATATTTTTCTAATCATTGGAAGAGCAAAACTATGCAGTTATTTCATTTTCTTTTTACCTGAAGAAAATCTCTATGTGGTAAGCATTTGTCCAAGGCTAAAAATTTGGTTGCTTTAGCTGTCTGTCCTTTATCCCCGGCCTAGAAATATGAACCATGATTTAAGAAAAAAATGTTAAGACATCACAGGTAATTCATACATAGAATAGGATGGAAACAATCTTTATTAAAAATACCCCTAAGATGTATGTCAAAGAAATAACTGTCACTATTCCAAAATAAGTTAGTTCTATAACCACTAGTGAAATGGGCAAGGCACTTAAACTCTCTGGCTGCAACTTCCTTACAAAAGTTAAAGCAGACACAAATGCTGATGATAATGATACTGTTAAAGCACATAACACAAAGGTTAATAACAGAATAGCTTAAAAGTAATCTGGCAGAGCTAAAACTAAGCAACTTTTAGAAGAAATTATAAGGGAAAAATCTTTATAACCTTGGGTTAGGCAAAGATCTCTTAGATATAACCCCAAAAGTAGATGTGATACATTCACAGAATGAAATACTGCTCAACAATAAAAATGAAATAAATACTAAACTTGCTGCATGAATAAACCTCAAAAACAAGCAAAGGAAAGAAACCACAAGACAAAGACTATGGATTTTGATCCCACTTATATAAATGTTCAGAAAAGGCAAATCCATAGAAACACAAAGCAAATTAGTGGGTGCCTGGGGCTAAGGGTGGGAACATGGACTCACAGCAAAAAGATACAAAAGATCTTTTGGGGGGAACGCCTGGGTGGCTCAGCTGTTGAGCACCTGCCTTTGGCTCAGGGCATGATCTCAGGGTCTGAGATTGAGTCCTGCATCGGCCTCCTTGTAAGGGGGGCTTGCTTTTCCCTCTGCCTGTGTCTCTGCCTCTCTCTGTCTCTCATGAATAAATAAAATCTTAAAAAAAAAAAAAAAAGAAAAAGATCTTTTGGGGTGCTGGAAATGTCCTAAAACTGTGCTATGCGACATTTGCTCTGGAAACACCCAGGAGTCTGGAAATATACTAAAACTCACTGAATTGTACATTTAAATGGGTGGATTTTATGTTATGTAAATTATACTCCAATGAAACTATTTTTTAAAGAATGAACTGGTAGAAAGAAACATGGGCAGATGTCAGTAGGTCACAAACATGAAGGCCATATTGGATGCAGTACAAAGTGACTCCCTGAAAACAGTAAGGCACATGGAAGAAAACAGACAAGGAGCAGGCTATGGGACGTCCTGTTGTGGGCCAGGTTTTAGTTCATTGGTGGAGGGGGGAGCTGAATGGGGTGGAAGGCACACAGATTATAGGCAGATTGTGGCAGCAGGGCTGCCCTGAAGAAAAGGGGTCTTTGGTGTTGGAAAAGGGGCTGAAAGAGAACACTGGCAAAGTCAGAGGAGGTTGAGGAGCTAAGAAAAAGGGATCAAACACGTTAATTCAGACTTAAGTCCCTGCAGTTAACAACAGAAGATGGATGGAGAGGAGAGTACCAAATCTGATGCTTCAATATAAATCCAGGAGTGTCATGAGCCCTACAAGACAAAAGACAGTAACACAGATGTAGAAAAAGTGATTGATATGAACAGATGACTTGGACCTTACAAGAGGATAATTACTTTGGCAGTGGCCCAAAGGGAAATAAAAGGAGTAACCTTGCCTCCTCTTCCCAGTAAAACTGGGGAGTGAGGATCAACCCACAACAGCCAGGGCCTACAGGAATGTTTTCAAACAGAACTTTCCACACTATACTTGAAGAACATCATTAAAGTGTACCCCACAAGAACGTGTGGGGTCAAGTTCAGGAAGCACTGCACACCGCATTTCACTCTTGGAGAAAGGGGCAGTGCCCATAACACATTAAAGATTCTCAGAAATTACAGCCCAGGTGGCTCAGTGGTTTAGCACCACCTTCAGCCCAGGATGTGGTTTTGGAGACCCGGGATTGAGTCCCACATCAGGCTCCCTGCATGGAGCCTGCTTCTCCCTCTGCCTCTGCCTGTGTCTGTGCCTCTCTGTGTGTGTGTCTCTCATTAATAAATAAATAAAATCTTTAAAAAAAAAAAAAAGAAAGAAATTCTATAAGAGCCTTTGAGACAAACTCTCTAATCTTGTTAACCCAGGACATTTCTAAATGTTTTCCCCCTGTGGAATACTTTATGGGGAAAGTCAGAGTTTTGTGAGAATGGGAGGGGAAAAGGAGAACCACACATTTCTGTAAAGGCCTAATTGTAAGCATGTATTTATTCTCTATCTTCCATTGAGCACCATCAGCACCATCATCCCCCATTTCCCAAGGAAACTCTGGAACCTGAGTTCTGTTTTTCCCTCTTTGCCGTAGGTTAGAATCTCATCTTTTGCTTATACAGCCTCCTCTGCCTCCCATTTTACTTATTATAATCCATACACAAAACTGCTACCAAACTGATCTTTCTGAAATGAAGTCCGGTTTCATCACTCCCCAATTACCTTCTGGTTAAAACCCCAAACTCCAGTGTATGGCCCGGAAGGCAGTTCTGATCTTGTTCTTGCCTCATCTCTCCCTCTGCCTCAGCTACAGGCACTGCTGCAGTCCCATCAGCATGCCGGGCATTAGGCCCCTAGCCTTTGCACAAACAGGTCTCTCCATCTAGATGCTGTCACCTATATTCTACTGCTTCCCGGCATAAACAATTCCTCTGGGAAACATTCTCAATCTCTTCATCTCTCCATCTACCTCCCCTTGTCTCACCACAGTATGGCACAGGTGGCTCCCACAGTATCCTGGCACTTTTAGTCACAAATTTATTACACTATTTTATAATCACTGCTGGTCTCTTCTCCCCGAAGATAATGGAGTTACTTGCAAAAGCAAAGTTATCTCTGATCTCTTTGTCTAAATTTACAACTGGGCCAATAGTGCCTTAGCCTGCAGATATTTGATGAGTGTTTGTTAAATCAAAGAATAAATATTTTTGGTTTCTACCTGATGCTGCATCAAGGCTGCAAACTTCACGTGAAGGTGTGCAGAAAACCAGTAAGTAGGTTTTAAGTGCTCTAAAAGCTCAGAGGCAGCAGGACTTCCCAATGTGTTATTTTCCACTTCTTGTCGGAAAAAAGATTTAGTCTTAAGAAGTTGCTTCTTATTTCCATAATGATATATCCCTCTTGGCCAATCGTGAGATAAGAATATGTCCATAGGCTGCTTTAGCTTTAACAGAAAAAGAAAACTTTTAAAAACAGATTAACCAAAAGCAATCCCTACTTTCTCTCCACCACCGCACAACCATTTGCCACTTAGATCCTTAGATTTCTCTGTAATTCATTCTAAGGAAACTTTATTAAGATGGTCACAGAAGTCACTAAGAACTCACTCATCTAAGCAAAAAGAAATCGCTTTCTCTCTCCTCACAAATCACCCATATCTTCCATGGCAAGGCAAAGCAATACAGACACACTTTGATCAGACTGCCAACCAGCTACATAGGGTCTCTAAAATATATACTAACCATTATTCTTTTCCCTTTTAGTGAAGAAACTATTTTAAGACACAGAGACATCAGACTTCATGAGATCTCTAATGTAAATAATACAGTAAAACCCAAAGGTACATTCTTTTTTTTTTTTTTCTAATGGACTCACATAGCATACACCTAAAAAATCCTGTTTACTACTATGTAAGTTATGTTAGCAGTATTTGAGGTGGCTGGTGTGTTCATGGGGTGGTCACAAAATACACCTCATACTTTACTGATCCCTAGCACCTTCAAGTAATCTGCAATAAGTACTTGGAAAAATAAATTAAAATAAGTTTTCAAGACAATATAAGACAGGTATGATGAATCACCAAATAACTGATGCAAGCAGTAAGTGCAATGAAAATTCAGAGAAGGGAGATGGCTTTAAACTAGAACACTGGTGGGGCACCTGGGCAGCTCAGTCAGTTAAGCATCTGACTCTTAATCTCAGCTCAGGTATTGATCTCAGGGTCCTGAGTTCAAGCCTCACATTGGGCTCCACGCTGGGCATGGCACCTACCTAAAAAACGAAACCAAACAAAAAACTCTAACACTGGCATCTAAGCTAGTTCTTCAAAGACTGGTAGAGGACTGAAATGGGCAAAAGGGAAAAGCACTCAAGGTAGGGAACTGTTATGAGTAGGATATTAAAGAAATGCCCACAAGCGTCCTTATGCTCCTACAGAGACTGTAGGGTATGGTGGGAAGGGCCTGAGAGCATTAGGCAGGCTCCATCACTTAACTATTTGAGAAATCCCAGGCAGGCTACTTACCTATCTGAGCCTTGGCCTTGCATCCTTAATGTGACAAGTTAGGGTAACACTTACTTCATTGAACTGTGTGGCAATTATATGAAATATCTTCTGTGAAAACCGCTTAAGCCCACTGTCAGCCATTTAATGCATCCTCAAACAAAAACCTAGTTTCACTTACTCTCCAGTTAAGCCAGTGTTCCAATGCCACCCTCACAATACTACCATATTCTCTATTATTTTTTACCACTATTTATTACCTATTTAGTACCATTGTTTACAAATTTTAGTATTTTCTTTAAAGTATCACTTTATGCCAGCATATATTTTCTAGCCTTAACCTAAGTAGTAATATCTAAAGTCATGGATTAAATGTTCTATTTTATTAATACTCCCTAAAATAAATTCATAATATTAGAATTAAAAAATGTTAATCTGTGAACCTCCTAAAAGCAACTGAAGATCCAAATTTTAGAAATACTGAATTAGGCTCTTCTTGGGAGTCATACACCAAAATGATCAAAATACACTTTGGTAGAATTACTTTAACATTTTTTCAAGTCTGCTATAATGTACTTTTTACTTACCTGTTTTAATTTATAGACTTCAATATTTCTCACATGATATATACTCCTTATCGTAGCTGGATTATAAGGGGGGCACTCAAAATGACCTTAAATTAAAGAAGAGAAATAAGCTATATTCAACTCCCTTAAATACCACAAGTACAAATATATATATATATATATATACACATACACTTCTCCAAAACTGATGTCTATCATTAATGTTTTTGGTTCTTAAAAATTTAATGAAGACACTGTCCTTAAAATGCTGGTATTTTCTACTAATAAGTGATCACTAATTATAAATCTCTAAATAATTGAGGGGTTTATGATTTTTTAAATTATATTTAATATGGAATACATTGGTCATTCACATAGTTTAAAATTTAAAAGATACCATCAGAACAGAATAAGGAGTTTTCCTCCAGAGAGTAGACCAGTGATTGTAGGGCTGGGGTGGGAGCAGGAATTAACTACAAAACTTCTGGGAATGATAGAAATGTTCTAAATCTGGATGGTTGCATAATCCTATAAATTTACTGAAAATTACTGAATTGTATACTTCCAAAAATATGTAAGTTTTACCTCTACAAAGCTGCTAAAACAATGGGAGGCAGGGATCCTCCTATTCCTGTCCCCCAGCCACCAGTAACACTACCTAGAGGCAACCAGTGTTAATCAGGTTTTAGTATTTTATTCCAGGGATATCAACTATGCATATAATAATACACAAACTTCTTTACCCTTCATTTTTTTTTTTACACAAATGGCAGTAGTTTCTACATATTTTGTGCCATGTTTTTTTCTTTACTTATTTTGGAATTCTTTGTGTATGATACGGATAAAGCTGCTTATTTTCTTTGTAAAAAAAAATTGCTTCATGGCACTATATTGTATAGTTTTATCATGATATAGTTAATTAGCTCCTACATTTTGCCATTACAAACAAGGCTGAAATTTTAAAATGTATACACATCATTTTGCACTTGTGGAATATATCTGTACATTACATTCCTGGAAATAGAACTCCTGGGTCAGAGTGCTTTTATAATTTTCATAGATTACCAGCTATCCTCCAAAGAATGGAGGATAGTTTGCACCCACACTTGCCATAAAGGAGAAAGCCTATTTCTGTATTCCCATGCCAATAGTTTAAGACCATGGGCAGCAGGGAACAGACTTATGATTGAACAGTTGCACTGAGGATATAAGTTTTAGCTGCCAATTCATAAAATTTCAAAATTAATGTGAACCCAAGCTATTTCTTTAACTTTAAAAGTAAGGTATAATTTTTTCAGATATAGTAGAATGAGTAAGTACAGTGTGGTATATTTCTACAATGGAATACTACTTATAAGTTAAAATGAATAGAGTGATATGTATCAACATGGATTTCAAAAACATATTAAACAATGAAGCAAGTTGCAGGAAGATATGTGCAAAATGATACATTCCCATGAAGTTTAAAACATGCCAAACTATATGCTGTTTAAAGCTGTTACATATCTGATAATGACATAATCAAATGAATGACAAACACCAAATTCAGAAGAATGACTGCCTGGTGAGGAAAGGGAAGAATAAAAGGAGAATGGGACTGAGGACAGATTAAACATGAGCTCTGACTGTATCTGTACTGTTTTATTTCTTTGAAATCCTAACTAAAAATCACAAGATACAAAGACTTGATAAAGCTAGACAATGGATACATAAATAATATGTTCTAAAGTTCTCAACATTTTTACATGTATAAAATATTTCATTAAAAAAATAATAATAGTTCAGAGAAAAAATCCAATGAAAACGTCAAACTATAAATTATGCGTAAGTTACCCTGAGACATGCAAGTTCTAAAGTTTAAACACAATTCTCAGAATAATATATACCTTTTCGATAGTCATGAGATTTAAAGATACCAGAGATGCCACCAATCCTTATGCCTCGGTATTTTACTACACCAGCCAAACCTGAAAAAGTACACAATTAAATAAAATAAAAATAGGCAGAAGCAATCTCTTTACTAACTAAATGAAGAGTTTAAAGGCCTAAAACTCCATGTGGCCCTAAAATTATTTGAAAATTAAATGTCATGATGAACTCTTACATAGTGATATGCCAAAAATACATAAAGGAGACTTGGAAGGAGAGGCCTAGAAGCAGACAGGCAAGAGACTAAGCAGAAAGGAAGGAATAAATGAAATTAGGTGCGTTAAGGGAAAAATAGACATAATTTGGTACTTAATAAAATACTATAGTGGGCTGGAGAGGAAAAAATGAAAAATGTCCTATGATAAATTTGTATGTTATACATCTGAAAGTCAACAGGTATAAAGTAATAAGAACCTGCAGTTTTGTTTTTTTTTTTTTAAGATTTTATTTATTTATTTGAAAGAGAGGGGGAAAGAGAGAGAGAACACAAGCAGGGGGAAAGCCAGAGGGAGTGGGAGAAGCAGGCTCCCCGCTGAGTAGGGAGCCTGATGCAGGGACTGGATCCCAGGACCCTGGAACAGTGACCTGAGCTGAAGGCAGATGCATAACCAACTGAGCCACCCAGGTACCTCAAGAACCTGCAGTTTCGATATTTCATTTCTGACTGACCATCTTCAAATATTTTTTCACAATATTGCAATTGTCAAATAATCAACCAGCAATGAAGTAGAGATACACATTCCTGAAGTTATGATGTCATCATTACAGCTATAAACATTTATTTTTTAAAAATATTTTATTTATTTATTTGAAAGAGAGAAAGCATGAGCTGGGGGAAGAGCAGAAGGGGAGGGAAAGAGAAAATCTCTCAAGCAGACTTCACCGTAAGCAAAAAAACTCGACTCAAGGCTCAATCTCACAACCCTGAGATCATGACCTGAGCCAAAATCAAGAGTTGGATGCTCAACCGACTGAGTTACCTGGGTGCCCCACTATAAACATATCAATAGGGGATCCCTGGGTGGCGCAGCGGTTTGGCGCCTGCCTTTGGCCCAGGGCGCAATCCTGGAGACCCGGGATCGAGTCCCACGTCGGGCTCCCGGTGCATGGAGCCTGCTTCTCCCTCTGCCTGTGTCTCTGCCTCTCTCTCTCTCTCTCTGTGATGACTATCATAAATAAATAAAAATTTTAAAAAAAATTTTTTTATTTCAATAAAAAGAAAGGGACTGTATAATCTAACAGGGCTAAAACTGAACCTGAATCTAATCAGGCTGTAAATCTAAATATAGTATTATATAGATTATAAGTAATGCAGAGGATGAAAGGAAAATGTTAAACAACATACAAGAAATTCCAATCAGTTAAATCCAGAAAGCAGGAAATTCTGTAAGACGAAATTCCATTTTCCTCAACAAATAAAGGACATGGGGTAAGGGAGGAAAGGGACCATTACAGCCTAAAAGGCATTAGAATCATGACAATCAAATGAAATGTGTGGACCTTGCTTGGATTTTACTTGAACAAGTCCATTTTAAAGCCAAACTCTTGGTATTAATCACAGAAATCTGAAGATTAGGCAACAGATAATGAGGAAGTATTGCTCCTTTAGTTAATATAATAACGCTATAGTATAATAATGGTACTATATAATAATGTATGTAATTATAGTACTGTAGCTGTGATATCTTTTAAAAAGTCCTTTATCTCTTAAAAATATGTACCAAAATATTCATAGGTGAAATCATCTGATGGCTGGGATTGGTTTTAAAATACTCTTAGTCACTTCTTCCCACAAAAAATGTTTAGAGGGGAAAAAAAGAAAAGTTTAGAGGGGAGTGGGGTTAAAATAAGGATGACAGAATGATAATAGTTGTTGAAGCTGGTTAGTAGGTACAAAGATTCATTTTACTATTCTCTATTTTTGAGTATGTTTAACGATTGTCATTATAATAAGTTTAAGTATTCTTTTTTTTTAATTTTTATTTATGATAGTCACACACACACACACACAGAGAGAGAGAGAGAGAGAGAGAGAGAGAGAGAGAGGCAGAGACATAGGGAGAGGGAGAAGCCGGCTCCATGCACCGGGAGCCTGACGTGGGATTCGATCCTGGGTCTCCAGGATTGTGCCCTGGGCCAAAGGCAGGCGCTAAACCGCTGCGCCACCCAGGGATCCCAAGTTTAAGTTTTCTTAATTTAATAGAAAGAGTAAGAAAAAATAAAAGGACTGCAAATAGTGTAAAAGGTCTCTGCAGTTATATTTATTATTACTATGTCATATTATCTATATTGCTTAAAACACTACATGAAGCATGGACACATTTTCATGATTACCTGTTTAAATTAACTGTTTAAACTTTCAGAATTAGTTAAATTAAGAGGCTTTCCCAAAACACTATACATCTCAAGATGCTGCCCAGCTAATACACAAATCCTGACAGGCTCTTCCATTCCAAACAAACCAAAAAGTTACCCACAAACACATACCTAAATAATAAATGTTTGGTGCCACCCAGCCACCATAGGGTAACTCTTGCAAATGATTTGAGGCTTCATGGTTTCCCCCAATGAAGATTGTGAGAACTGGGGCCCTTCTCTCTCCAGAGTAATACCTGGAACAGAAGGGTAAAGTTGTCAGTTGGCATAGCAGAAATCAGGCATAGAGAAAAGCCATTACGCATCCCTATGAAAGTGGGCGTAGCAGAAAAGCAAAATAAGGTCCAAAGGAAAATCTGAGCTCACGATAAAAAAAACTTTTAAAAAGCTCTCCCTAAACAAATTTGCCTATGCTTGTCCCTAAGAATGATGGGGCTGCCTGCCACTTTGGGTTCAAAACCAGCGTGCGTTCAATGAGGTCAAGAACTTTGTGTCGTTGCTTAACCCTAGCTTCTAGAAAGCGGACGAGGACAAAGCAGGTGTCCACCAAAAACCCCCGGGTCAATAAATGAAGCCGCCCCAGAGACCTATCCAGTACAAGGGAGATTAACCTGTCAGCTTCTTCCTCCAGGTTGATCCCCTCAGGCTTCGATCAGACAAGACAGACAGGTGGAAGGAAATGAGAAAAGTGACACCAAGCACCCGTTCCTAGACACAGCGTTAACAAAAGAAGGTAACTAAGCGAGACAGCTGGTCCGTGACGGGGCCGGGGGGGGGGGCAGCAGGGGTCGCGGGGGGAAGGAGGAGGGATTCGAATCCAGTCCGGGTCCTCCCCCACCCACTGCTCCGAGTCACGGCTCGCGGAGCCGCTCACCTGTAGAAGGTCTGCATGTGGCGGTACTTGGGCGGGACGGCCATGCAACGCAGGTCGGCCTCGTTGCGCACCGCCTGGAAGTCGCCGCAGCACAGCAGAAGATCTATCGGCCCGGGGCCGCGCCTCTCCGCCAGCGCCAGCGTCTCATAGATCTTGTCTAGTTCGCCGTGGCAGCAACCGGCCACAGCCACCCGCATCCCGCCGGCCCGAGGCGGGGAGCGCTGCCCGCAAGCCCCTGCCCCAGAGCCAGCCCACGCCGGACCGCGAAGACGACGCGCCCCGCTCGGCTCCCGCCAACACCGAGCCCACGCCTCGCGCAGACGCCTGGAATACAATTCACTTCCGGTTTCCAAGTCTCGCGAGAGAGTGATCTGGAAGGGCAAGAACCGCGGGATGCGAGAGCGCTTTCCAGACGATTCGGGCTTTTCCTGGCTCCGTGGGTCCTTGGGTGTTAGCTGCCGGGCAGGTGGTAAAGATCAAGACGCGAATAGCCGAGTTGTGTTTTGTTTTTTTTGGTTTTTTTACCCAGAAACAGCAGTTTAGTTTGATAAAACTAAGCCAGATTAAGCAAGTGAGCCCGTGCGATTGGCTCATTTCCTAGGACGAACCCTCTCACAGCAAAGATAAATTTCCTGAAAGCGAATTAGAGAGTAAAAGATGTTTTTTTTTAAAAAGACACATCAAACTGAAAATCATTTTTTAAATAAAACTTTAAAAGCTCGCTGAGGGTCTCTGAATTATCCCACGGAAGAGTTTCTAAAATTACCGGGTGGCTCAGCAGTTTAGCACCTGCCTTCGGCCCAGGGTGCGATCCTGGAGTCCCGGGATCGAGTCCCACGTAGGGCTCCCGCCATGGAGCCGGCTCCTCCCTCTCTCTCTCTCTCTCTCTCTCTCTCTCTCTCTCTCTCTCTCTATGTCTATCATAAATAAATGAATAAATCTTAAAAAAAAAGTAAAATAAAATTACCGTGTTTTTTTTTTTTAAAGGAGCCGAGGACTCTTATTTTTCCTACCAAATAGGTGTTTGCATAACTAGACTGCAAGCTCAATGAAAGCGGAAGAATGTCTAGAAAACGTCCAGGAAGGAAAAGAACCAAAATGGCAATTTAAAAAAATGAGTGGCCCAGGGGCACCTGGGTGGCTCAGTGGTTGAGCATTGCCTTTGGCTCAGGTCGTGATCCCCGGAGGTCCAGGGATCGAGTCCCACGTCGGGCTCCCGGCAGGGAGCCTGCTTCTCCCTCTGCCTAGGTCTCTGCCTCCCTCTCTGCATCTCATGAATAAATTAAAAAAAAAAGGAGTGGCCAATATAGAAACAAGCAGAACAGTAAGCCAAATTTAATCAAGAAAGTAATCTAATCAGGATTATACAGGAAGTAAAAAAAAATCCATCTTTCATTTAAAAAAAATCTGTGTAAAATAACATTGTAGGAACAATGACACCAGAGTTAATTCAAAAGTAAGCAGAAAAAAAAAGTAAGCAGAAGAAAAAAAATAAAAATATATTTAAAAAAAAGTAAGCAGAAGATGTGAGCAGAACCATGACAATAAGAAAATACTGGAAAAGTCAAATCCATTGAAAAACATTGTACCCAGAGTGATTTACAGGCAATTTCTTTCAGATTTACAAGATATAACTTTAATGATATGTAAATTAATCAAGAGAGAATAAAAGGATGGAGACCTAATATTTCCAATCTTTTTAAAATATTTTGTTTTCCTTCTGTGTTGGATTTTTTGATTATACAAGAAATGCTTTTTTTATTTTATAAATTTATTTTTTATTGATGTTCAATTTGCCAACATATAGAATAACACCCAGTGTTCATCCCATCAAGTCCCCCCCTCAGTGCCCGCCAACCAGTCACCCCCACCCCCCGCCCTCCTCCCCTTCCACCACCCCTAGTTCATTTCCCAGAGTTAGGCATCTCTCATGTTCTGTCTCCCTTTCTGATACAAGAAATGCTTTTTACAGCATTGCTAAGTTTAACTTTTCCATTTGATTTTTTAAATTTTATTTAAATTCAATTAATTAACATATATTGTATTATTATTTTTGAAGTAGAATTCAGTGATTCATCAGTTGCATATAATACTCAGTGCTCATTACATCAGGTACCCTCATTAATACCCATCACAGAGGTACCCCATCCCTCTACCCCTCCCCTCCAGCAACCTTCAGTTTGTTTCCTATGATTAAGTGTCTCTTATGATTTGTCTCCCTCTCTGATTTCATCTTATTTTACTTTTCCCTCCCTTCCCCTATGATCCTATGTTTTGTTTCTTAAATTCCACATAGGAGTGAAACCATGTAACTCCTTGGTTTTATTTTGCTTAGCATAGTACCCTCTAGTTCCGTTCACATCATTGCTAATAGTAAGATTTTATTTTTTTGATGACCAAGTAATGTTCCATTGTCTCTATATACACCACATCTTTTTTATTTTTATTTTTTTTAATTTTTATTTATTTATGATAGTCATAGAGAGAGAGAGGGAGAGAGGCAGAGACATAGGCAGGGGGAGAAGCTGGCTCCATGCACCAGGAGCCCGACGTGGGATTCGATCCTGGGTCTCCAGGATCACGCCCTGGGCCAAAGGCAGGCGCTAAACCGCTACGCCACCGAGGGATCCCACCACATCTTTTTTATACATTCATCTGCTGATGGACATCTGAGCTCTTTCCATAGTTTGGCTATTGTGGACATTGCTGCTATAAACATTGGGGTGTAAGTGCCCCTTCGGATCACTATGTTTGTATTCTTTGGGTGAATGCCTAGTAGTGCAATTGCTGGATCATAGGGTAGCTCTATTTTTAACTTTTTGAGGAACCTCCATACTATTTTCCAGAGTGGCTGCACCAGTTTGCATTCTCACCAGCAATGCAAAAGGGCTCCCCTTTCTCTGCATCTTCACCAATATCTGTCGTTTCCTGACTTCCTAATTTTAGCCATTCCAACTGGTGTGAGGTGATATCTCATTGTGGTTTTGATTTGTATTTGCCTGATGCTGAAGGAAATGTGGAGCATTTTTTTGTGTGTCTGTTGGCCATTTGTATGTCTTTTTTGGAGAAATGTCTGTTCATGTCCTCTGCTCATTTCTTGACTGGATTACTTGCTTTTTTGGGTATTGCGTTTGATAAGTTGTTTACAGATCTTGGATATTAGCTCCTTATATGATAAGACATTTGCAAATTTCTTCTCCCATTCTGTAGGTTGTCTTTTGATTTTGTTGACTGGTTCCTTCACTGTGTAAAAGCTTTTTACCTTGAGAAGTTTCCCTTGTCTTTGGAGATGTGTCTAGCAAGAAGTTGCTGCAGCTGAGGTTGAAGAGGTTGCTGCCTGTGTTCTCTAGGATTTTGATAGATTCCTATCTTACATTTAGGTCTTTCATCCATTTTGAATTTATTTTTGTGTATGGTGTAAGAAAGCGGTCCAATTTCTTTCTTCTATGTGTGGTTGTCCAGTTTTTCCAACAGCATTTGTTGAAGAGACTTTTTTTCTGTTGGATATTCTTTCCTGCTTTGTTGAAGATTAGTTGACCATAGGTCCGTTTGATTTCTAATCTACAGGAATTGTCTTTTCTGAATCCTTTTCTCTTCCACATAAAATATTTTAATTGGTTCTAACTTAAAGAAACATGAACAAATTAAAACTTACAAGCACATTTTGATGCATTTTTATATGTATAATCACCCATATAACCACCACCCATATGAAGATATAAAATACTCCCAGCATTCAGAAAGGCTCCCTTGTGCTTCCTCACAAGCCCCTACACCCAAAAGAAAAGCATTGCTCTAACCTCTATCAACATAGGCCAGCTTAGCTTGTTGTTGTTGTTTTCTTTCTAATTCCAGTATAGTTGACATATAGTGTTATATTACTTTCAGGTGTGCAATATAGTGATTCAACAATTCTATACATTACTCAATGCTCATTGCAAGCAGACTCTGAATCCCTTTCATCTATGTCACCTTTGCTTGTTTTCAAACTTCATGTAAATGTCAATATGTATTATTCACTTAATTTAATGTCTATGAGATTCATCTGTAAATCTGTAATATAAATAGATATAGCCATAGAATGCTGTTTCATATTACTGTGTACTATTCCATTGTGTGAACATACCACATTGTGTTTGTCTATTGTCCTGCAGAAGGACAAATGGATTGTTTCTAATTTGGGGCTATTGCGAATAAAACCACCATACACATTCTTGTAAAAATCTTTTGGTGGGGGATCCCTGGGTGGCGCAGCGGTTTGGCGCCTGCCTTTGGCCCAGGGCGCGATCCTGGAGACCCGGGATCGAATTCCACATCGGGCTCCCGGTGCATGGAGCCTGCTTCTCCCTCTGCCTATGTCTCTGCCTCTCTCTCTCTCTCTCTCTCTCTCTCTCTCTCTCTCTGTGACTTTCATAAATAATTTAAAAAAATCTTTTGGTGGGCATAGAATTTATTTCCAGAAATATAATCTCTGGGTATAGAGCAAATTATATGTTTAGCTTTGATAGGTAGATCAGTTTCCATAGTGTACCAATTACACTTTCTTAAGGAATATAAAACCATTCCAATCATTCCATGTGCTCAATAGCCTTGGTATTTTTTTATAATTTTTAAGAATATTTATTTATTTATTCGGAGAGAGAGAGAGAGAGAGAGAGAGCGAGAGAGAGAGGCAGAGACACAGGCAGAGGGAGAAGCAGGCTCCATGCAGGAAGCCCTACGTGGGACTGGATCCCGGGTCTCCAGGATCACACCCCAGGATGCAGGAGGCGCCAAACCGCTGCGCCACCAGGGCTGCCCAATAGCCTTGGTATTATCTTTTTGTTATACTTTAGCCATTTCCTTACATTTTGTGCAATGGTATCTCCTTATGATTTCCAAATAGAGTTTACAAGAAAAATTTAAAATATCAGCCAAATTGAATTTTCTTCTTTTGTGACCAAAAGGAAACAATAACTTAATATCATAACATTAAAAAAATAGTGGTCAAAGAAGGAAATAAAAGATTATGAATAAGAATGAAAAGTGCATGGTGGCTCAGCTCCTGCTTCCAACCCACACCCCATTTCTAGAGGTCATATCAGTGAGTGAACAAACTTGGGAATTCTCACTGACTTTCTTAAATCCAGAGAGAATCAAATTTAATAGAAAGCCTCACCCCTTTCCCCTGTTGAGTGAGGAGAAACAGAAAAATTGTTGGAGAAAAGTGGATTGAATGAACAATGAAGATAATTCTTTTTTAAGTGTGAAAAGCCACATTCCCTGAACAGACAGGTACACTCAGTGTGTGTGTGTGTGTGTGTGTGTGTG